ATTATTTAGCATTGTGAAAGATACTTGTGCTCTGAGCATTAACAATGATTTTCATGAACAACGATTTTGATGTTTTAGTAATATGTTCAGTCTAAAGAAAAAGAAATTTTGTAGTTAATTATCCAAAGAATAAAAACAGCTAGAAAGATGTGTTCCTAAGAACACAAGAATAACCTTGCCGGAATAGGAGGCTTGTGTATACCAGCATTAGTTACATAGTTGTATCTGGAAGTCACAACAGGACAGGAAAAGGACCACTTATTTATTACCAGCTCACTAATACAAGTATTTCCTCCATATTTTGCACTATATGGCTGGGTTGGTAGAACACATTGGAGTATGCTAAAGGGTAGCTGGCTAGTTTGTAGCTCAGTATGCACAATCAGGCAAATCAGTTGAGAAAACAATGATTAAGTGTTAGCACATTGTGCAAACATGGGCAAGATGTACATGATTATAAAGTAGAAGATATTTTCATGACTTGCTAATATATCCTTGCAGACTGATATCCTATCAAGATTTTATTTGGTAGGATAATATTCAAAAATTATTAATGTGATATACACATCAGAATTAAACCATCTTGAAACAATGTATCTCCTGATCAGTGATTTTCTTTGGTTTTTAGATACTAAGGGAAAATTGCTTGTAAAACAGTATGAAAATTAAAGATGATATACTCTTATCTGTTAAACTCCCTTTCCTGCTTTTCTCCCACTGAACATTTAATCTCCTAAAGAAAATTTACTTAATGCATTATTAACTATTGCTTTGACAAATGCCTGTTCATGCAGACCTAATCCAATAATTTAAGAGTAAGCACTTACAGGGAACATGATTTTCTAAAAAAGCTGCTCCAATTATAAATGTCTTCGGGTAAAAAAGGAGAAAAACATTTTCAGTCACCACTGTTCTTCTGTCATTTACTTGCTAAGAAGTAAATGCAAAATGAGATGTGCCTAGGATCAAAATGGTTGTTGTTGTTCAGTTGTTAAGTCATGTCCGACTCTTTGTGACCCCATGAACCATATCGTGCCAGGCCTT